CATACAATTATATAAAAACTATATCCACCCCCAGGAGCTCTGCCTTTTACTCCTTAACTGCCTGTAGCAGCTATTCACCTATACCACAGTGAATTACCACTCCTCGTACCACCTTAGTTGTGCCAATCAAGAGGGAGAGCAATGCCCAGACTGGAAATCAATAGCAAAATCTTGCAACCTGTCCAGAGACACACAGTGACTTTTTCTTCTGCTAGACTGTGCTTTCATGATAGGCCCATCATGAAAAATTAACTACAGCTACACAAGAAATTAAAAAAGAGGTCTCAGCAAGTCATGACATTCTGCTGTGCTTAGAAGAGGCGCTGCAATTATTGTGCAGCAGGAAAGTGCTGAGATGGTTTTAATGGCATCTGCCGTCTCTTGATCGACAGAGCATAAACATTTCATAAATACAAGCAACAGCATTGCAGTCACACAGCACCAGACAGCAATATTTACCAACGGCAACCGAGCTACATCTATCAGTCACAAATTGCACATCTAGCACAGGGTTATTCTGATTTTGTTTGAGAATTGTCCTCTTTTGGATGAAGAGGTATTAGCAGCTTCACAAACACTGTCAGCTAATCAAAAAATATTAGAGAAACTCTCCACAGCTTGGTGGTTGTCTGTCACTTGCTCTAGATGTTAGGAATGTGTGGAAATGAATAAATGTATTAATGCACCGCAGCCTGTCAGGAGCCCTTGGCATGCCGCGTGCCTGTGTACTGCATTCGCCAGCCCAATCTCCCTGAATCTCTCAGCGTTCCCCAAGAGCAACCCGTCTGCACGGGCCTCGGCACGGAGCCTGCTTTTAAATGGCAATATTTCGCATTGTGGTGCCTGACACTAATGCCTACCTAAGCCATACGTGATATTTCGCTTGCAGACCTGACACAGATGTGCCATTTATTTAGCTCACATTTACGCTCGTTGACTTGATCCACATTGTGACGTTTCTTAGCAAACAAGCACAGCCCAAGTGTGTTAATCACTGCTCATACACACAGCGGGAGTGCTCACTGAGTTCTCCCCTACCAAGTTCTGCCTGCTGCCATCCAGGCGGATGAAACATGCCTTTCTGGACTCCAAGACCCTTGTTCTGGGACAGAAGCAGGACCGCTGGACCATAGGCTGGGTGGGAAAGGAAACCAGGGTGGTAACAAGAGGGGATGCAAGGCAGAAGAGGAGGAAAAGGATGAAAAACACTTGTGGGAAAAAATAAGAAATAAAAGTGAAGACAACTGAAGACCCTTTCTGTCAACGTCCTTCTTTTTTTCCTTTCTCCTAAGGTCCTCTCAGGCTTTTCCATCATCCAACTAATTGACAGCTTCCTACCTTCTCCCCTTTCTCTTTTCTCATTCCTCTACGTTGGCCTTTTCTCTCTTCTAACACGCATGGAAAAATAGTGGCCATGGCAGAGTCCTCTTCCAGGTGGGCACAATCCGTGGGCAGCTGCGTGACACCCCATGCCAGCTGGAAGCTGCTCCCACAAGGAACTGCATCACAGTGCAGCAGTGCCTTCCCATGCCACACCAGGGAAAAACGCTGCAGAGACAGATGCCACTCTGGAAATAATGAATGTCGAAAGGGAAGCATTTGCCACCAAGACAGACAAACTAACAGTGTGCAAGGGAACTGTTTTATATAAAGACAAACAAATCTCTCCCATACAAAACAGGATGCATATCAAAACAGCAACATCTTCTGTGCTCTAGTGTCCGAAACAGAGCAGCTGGGTGGAGAGCATTTAGATGTGTTTTTAAAGAGAAAAACATATGGTACGGGAGTACAAAAGCAATAAAGACAATCTACTTTTTGTTGATATTGATACTACCTTTTGATAATATGCAACTCTAGACCATGGAAGAAGACAAATTAAGTAAGAAACAATCCCCTCTTATGCTTATCTTTACCTAGTAAATTATTCTACTGAAACCTTTTACTAGCAGGAAGAACATGCAGTATCTCAGTGCTTGCTCTCATCTGTTTTTTGCTGGCACTCAAGACTTGTGACACTCTCTAGTACTTGTGCTTGTCACAGGACTGCAGTTCTGCCTTGAGGGGACTATCTTTTGCCATGAAATATCCCGCTACCTGTTACATGTATGTGAAACCAAGGTACTGAATTTATTCCAGTAAAGGGAACAGATAACAAGGAAGCCATTTTTTTAAGATATGACTGATTTGAAAAACGCCAAGACCTCATTCCAGAAATCAAAATAATGTATGAAACATGATATGTACTCTGCATACACATTACCCCATGTAACTGCATGATACATGAATATGTACTCTGCCTTCTGGTATGTTCCAGAAGACATGCCTCACTTGGCTGCAAGAGGTATCTGTGCATAAAGTAAAGTGAGAGGAACTTCAAGTGTCACAGTCTTAACACTGATTCATATGATTAAGAACTTACCAATTTTATGACAAATTACCAGTCAGTACAATTTAATACAAGAGGTTGTCTATTCTGTGATCTTTGGGTAATGATTTATATGTAAGATTAGATTTTTCAATCATAATTTTTTCAACCATTTTATACAAGTTTCTTGCAGTTTTTGTTGCATTACAATATTTTTCATTGCTTTTGAACTTCAGCAGCAATGTAATATACACTTATATGGAGACTAGCAAAAGTGTTTCTTTGGACAGAGTAATTTTTATGCTGTTATTCTGCTCGTTCTTATTATATTCATATGCACATACATATTAATAATTTATATCATTGCATGTCTGTAATGCTAATTGTTCACTAAGAACAAAAGACATTTAGGATAATTCCTTTTTGGTATTCCTGCACTAACTATGGGAAGAATTATTAACCTTAATTATCTGTGAAGCATCACATATGACACTCTGCAACTAATAAGCCAAATTTTGAAGTTTTTCTAAAGCTCAAAATATTCTCCCTAAGTCCCATATCACTATATTTGTGCACAGCAGTCTTGATGGACATGTCTTTCTGAGATATAGGTTGACCCATCACATTCTTTTTTGTTTCTCCATCTTACGAAGTGTGTGAAATTTACTGCGTCTCAGTAAATACCAGTGCATCTCAGCTACTCAGTGTATTTTGTAATACAAAACCTGACAGACATTAAAAATCGACCCTCTGCAGAGGCTGAAATCCATTGCTTCTGGTTTTACTCAGTCTTGAAGTCAACATGTACTAAGTTTTATCTGCCTGAGTAGAAACTGAGTAAGGGCTTTAGCATTTGGGACAATAATAAAAAATTAAAAAAAAAAAAGAAGCCTCTGTAAGGAAAATATCAACATCGCTGTAGCTTCAGTTCTCCACTGCTCACCATCTAATAGAGTCACTAGACAAATTAAAGCAAATGAGTGTTCAGAAACACTATGGACTTCTGATAGGACAATGGGTAATGTTTTAAACAGAAAGAGGGTGGATTTAGATTAGATATATAGAAGAAATTCATGGTGAAAGTTTTGAGGCACTGGACAAGTTGCCCAGAGAAGCTGCGGATGCCCCATCCCTGGAAGTGTTCAAGGCCAGGCTGGACGAGGCTTTGAGCAACCTGGTCTAGTGGAAGGTGTCCCTGCCCATGGCAGGGGGGTTGGAACTAGGTGGTCTTTCAGGTCCCTTCCAACTCAAACCATTCTATGATTCTACAAGGTTCTCGAATTTCTCCAGCACTCCATTATGCTACGCTCAAGGGCTGTCTTTCCATTTAAAGAGCCCTAGAAGATCCAGTTCAAACCAGAGCAGGATTAGCTGGCTGCATATAAAACCCCTGGAGAAGAACACACAGAGCTGCAGCACTGTGCCAGGCAATGAGCTGTGCTCCAGCCCATAGTACAAACCAGGAAAGCTGCCATCACCAACAGATGAGCTTTAGAAAAAGGAGATGAAACAGTTTAATATACAGGTTCCCACACACAGTGCCCACCCTACCTCTCTGATGGGTGATGCATGGTAGAAGGGAGCATGTTTGCACATCTCTGTTGCTTGACTTACACCCCTGGACCGATAGCAAGCACAGCCAAGATGCTGCTCCCATTTGCTCCTAACACCAAGGCAGGAACCTCCAACAAAGGAGCATTGCTGACAGCAGGGTGCAATAACTTTTGAACACCACCGATGTTTGCTTTATTGCCCACAAAACAAATCCCCTGGGGAAGCCACCAGGGTGGTCCAAAACACAGCAGGGTCCTCTCCAGGCACCAGAATTGCTCAGGTTCTCAACGGCAGAAGAGGTGGCTGAAAGGGACAATAAGATCCTGTCCTGCCCTACACCACATGCGTCATCCTGCAACTTGTGATTTAGACCATTTACGAACTGATAGAGCTTGGCCATGATGGACACTGGGAAAGATATAGGCACAATGGGATTAATTTATTTTAACAAACTAAAAATGTATTGTGCTTTTGGAAAGAAATTCATAAATATTATGCTTCCATGGAGTAAAACCAATATGTACCAACACATTTTCAGCCCCAGCTTAGGAAACAGGGCCTCAACTCCAGGATTACATAAATGTGTTAGTGAGCACAGTTTCATTTGTACATAATTCATTCTTTTTCCTGATGTACTTACAGGTAAAAACTTCACTGACTTGTGCGACAGTTCGTAGATGTTTGCAATAGACCTCTACCTGAACAGCAGCAAATTATAAAAGCAGATTCTACATAAGCTATCAGATTGCTGCAAGGAAAACAAAAACCTCCAAACAAACAACGAAACAAAAACAAACAAAAACCCCACTGATCTCCAATTAAAACTGTTTTCCTGACTTTTTCTCCCCAAAATGCATAACATTTGTTGTGTAAAAATTAAACCACCATATGAGGCATATTTTAAAGCCTCATATAAACAATGAAGCTTGTATGGCATCCTCAGAGCAAAGAATGTCCAAATATGGCTGAGAGTTAAGTACCCTGAGAACTAACTGCTCTTAATAAATTCATTGAAGTTTTTAAGTCCACATTTACCAAGAATCAGATGAGAAATGAAGGGAAGAGAAAGTGATTCAACTCATTTTCCTGTACCATTTTCTAAAGATGTTGTGTTATAAACATCCTCCATATCTTGGATGCTGGAGGCATCTGTTGAATCTTGGTCACTGACTACAATTCCTACTGAAGAAAGGCTAGAAATGAAGGAGTGCATCTTTTTTGCATAAATATCCCTAATGTTAAAATAAGGTAAGTCATTACATTTCTCTTTGCGGTCATTGTTGCATTGATCTGGATCAATATCTTTCTGTTTTTGGTAGTACTTGGAAAACTTATTGAAAATAATGGTGATGGGAAGCGCTACCACTAGTATCCCACAGATAATGCATAGGGTGCCGAGCAGCTTTCCAGCAAGCGTGACTGGGTAAGTGTCCCCATAACCAACAGTGGTCATGCTGATGGTTGCCCACCACCAGCAAACTGGGATGCTGTACAGTTCTGATGAGTCATCATCTTTCTCCACTGAGTAGACAAGCACTGAAAAAATAGAAATTCCAACAGACAAAAACAAAAGCAGAAGTCCAACTTCCTGATAGCTATGTCTCAAAGTGGCGCCTAAAGACCGCAGTCCTACAGAGTGCCTGGCCAGTTTCAGAATGCGAAATATCCTCATTAGCCGCAGGATCTGAACCACTTTCCCCATGTTTTCAATATCTTCACTTTCTTCTTCCTTCGTGTCCACAGCCAAGGTGGCATAAAATGGGATAATAGAGACAAAATCAATGATATTCAGTGGTTTCTTCCAGAACTTCTTTTGACTCGGAGCGGTGATGAGCCTGATCACGAGCTCAGCAGTGAACCAAATGATGCATGTAATCTCCACGGCTTCCAGCACAGGGTCTTCAATCTCCCTGTCATTGGCGTCCAGCCTTTGAAACTCTGGCATGCTGTGAATGCACATGGCCACAATTGACGCCAAGACAACACTCAGGGATGACACGGCAATTAGCTTGGCAGACAAGCAGTATGCAGGATTTTCCATTCTGACCCAGATCTTCTTTCTTATTTCACCAAAACACAGATTGTCAAACTTTTCCAGCTCTTTATCAAATATGGATGACTCTTCATTAGAGGAGTCTATACTTCTATCATTGCTCTTCTGATCCCAATCTTTCTCAGGACCTTCTTCTTTCCTTTCTTGGTACCTATTGCTACAAATCATTTATGCCCCAGTATTCTATTTCCTGGCAGAAGGAGAAGACACAAAGTTCTTCCATGACGTGAAGTTTGCCTGTATAGTAAAAATTCAGAACATATCGGAACAAGGAAGGATTCCTGTCAAAGTAATATTCCTTGTCCGCAACACTATAATCATCACACAGTTCTAGAATAGCCTCTTCTGAATGGCATTTGAGAAGCTTCCCGAGTCTGGTATGGGGAAATCGGAGCAAGGTGCTTTGATCCACTGATTGTTTATAGCCACCCACATTCAAATTTATAAGTTCTGCGTCTTTGCCAGGTCTGCGGAAAAATTCACCATAAACCATTTTGAACAGAAGAGTTTCGCTTGCTTGCGCCTAACGAGATTACATTGAACCTGAAAAGAACATAAGATATTGTTAGAACATTTTATTCAGTTTTGCTCGTGTCACATTCTTTCTTCCATCTCCAGTTACTGTGAAATGTTATAGCAAAAAAAGAAACAAATTATGAATACCATTATTCAGCATTTCACAGGAGTAGGTTTAAATCAGGTTGATGGTTTAACTCAGCTTTAGAAAATTTGAAAGCAATAGGTCCTGGTTTAGCTTTCCTTAATTTTTTCTAATGTCACAGAAGAATGCCTAATTCTACTGTTTCTACTACTATCACATTGAAACTAACACTCAGAAGTTTACCGCAATGAAGTAAAAAAAAAAATCTTTGGGTTAAAGACAGAAAACTTGTCAAATCATAAAAGCATTTAGGACAAAGCTTAAGAGCAGGTGTCTCTCAATTATGGTTTCAGTAGAGTTGTACTGCTTTATATGATGTTGCAATTTATAATCCGCAACTTTCGATGTTACCTGCTTGAATGTGGACTGCAATTACTTCTGTTGTCATATCAATTGATTTCTTTCTAGAGTCATCCACAGAACAGCATTCTGTATTCTTGAAAACACATCAGAGTTTTGTCTAGTATATATTTGGGTGTCTGCACTCCCTCAAGGTATTTTTCTACTGGTCCTTCTACTTACCTGGAGTGTCACAACCTTCTTACGACCTTGGTCAGTTCCAGAAGCTCTTCCTATTCTGCCACAGCATAGACACAACCACTGCGGTAATGCGGAGAAGTTGGTGTTGAAACGCCATTTCTGGAAACAGGCGCTTCCAGAGATGGAACTTTGACAGAAATTTTGCCTTAGCAAGTAACTGTGGGTACCTGCAGACAGACAGAAGGACATTTCAGTGTTTCCATATGTTACTGTGTAAATTAAATCATTCAGCTGAAACAATTCAGAAAGGCAGACATATTTACTAGCAAATAACTCTCTCGGGGGAACTTAACTCTTCCTTGGAAGGAGAAAGAGTTATCTTCAAGGCAAAACTGGCAGTTCCTATACTTGTCATGAGATTATATATCACTTCTGATCATGAGAAGAGCAAATTTTTTTGATCCCTGACACTTAAACATTAATTGATGTACACTCAGCTAATTTATTTTAATTTAATATGGAAGTTAATTGATTTTAAAAGTGACAAGAGAGCATCGTAATTCTCCAGTCCTAACAGATGGACTCATATCATGCAAAGGAATCCCTTTGGTGCTTTTTAATGGCTTGGGGAAGCTACTCAAGGAACAGACAGTCATTTCTATACTTGTCCATCTTTCAGTGCCTCCTGCAATAGCATCAATTATGGTTCAAAGTTGGGGTATGCTAGAGTACGAATATTTTTTGCTGCTCCTCAAGGTCTCCTGACTCAGTTAAAGAAGGTCGTTAGGTGATACCTATTTCCCTGTTTGTAGTGTGTGCACCACAGTTGCATCGCTGCTATATGTTGGCACAAGAGAGGAGCACCAGTATTTCTTTACATAAAAGAAACCTGGGCATTTTCATCAAACAGGAGTCACTGTAGACTTTAGTAAGTGCCAAAGTGGATGACTGGGATACTGGGCCTCAAGGGTGAGCCCCACTTTTCACCACCAGAACAAGTAGGAGGCAAAAGAAAAAAAGAACCCCACCCCACAATCATTATTCACTGTCAGCTGGGACAATTCAGCTTTCATTCAGCCTCAGGCACTTGTATTAATGGACTTGTTCTTTTCAGCCATATAGCCTCACTGCCTGAATTTGTAAAGACAGCAAGTGTTTTCATTCTGTAGCTCCAAATAAAAGATTAGATCTATGGGGCTGTGTGGAGAAGGCAAGACCCAGCTGAGCTAAACTGGCCTCTGATATGAATCAACTGTTGAATACCCTGAACAGAGATAAGTCTCCATCTCCAATGTTGTCTTTGTGACTTGATTATAGCAAAAGACAGAAATGGGAAAAGCCTTAAAAATTCAGTTCAAACTTCTGATTAAATGCCAAGGAGAGGAGGAAGAAATGGAGATACAGATGCACACTGGGAGGCAAAGCGCCAAACTGCCCGGAGAGCTGAAGAGTTTATCAGCCAGAAGTTGAATGCCCCCAGCCGAGACTGTTGCATACTATCTGTAAAATGCAATTATTCATTTTGTCTGTGTTGGAGAACACCTACTGTTTACAGGAGCAGCAACTCCCTATAAGTGCCACGAAGGAAAGGACTTCTTTTGCCTTCTTGCCACTCCAGTGCTTTCCAGATGGGGTGAGAACAGAGAAGTAGATCACTGGGAGCTCACAGTGCTGGAGTTTCAGAGCATGAGTTAAGGCACATCAGGTTTTAATACAGATCCATTTTTCTGTTTAGCGGGAGGAATTTCTGAGCCACGATCTTCTCACTCACCTCACACTTCCCCACAAGCAAGGATTTTTTTTAAGCTTGTCACAAACCTCACTAGAGATTTATTCAGTGCTGTTCTCTCTTACTATTTTCCTTCTATTATTTTTTTAAAGTCTTTCACAGAAGTAGGAACACAGTCTGATGCTGTAAACAACACGTATTCTACTTCTGCTTTTTCATGGGACTCATTCCAACCAAAGCTACTGGAATTTCATAGTAATCTCCCTGTGTATAACAACTACTGACACCTATAACACATGAACATCCAGGCTCAGAAAATGCTGAAACTATATATTTGCTCTGGTAATTAATTCTGCAGAAACAGATCTCTATTCAGAGTGAGTTTTATTTATATACTGAAAAATATTATTTTGAAAAACAGGAAAAAGCATTTCTTTTTCTGGCCAAACTACAAACCCCTTTAAAGAACTTATCTTAAATGCAAATTAGTTTGAAACATTAATTTTACTGTGTGCATTGCCTACCATACAAACAAGATAAAGTTCTTGTTCTGATAAGACATGGAGGGCGGAAAAAAGCATTATATGAGACATACTGCTTTCCAACTAAGCAAGACAGAGAATAGCCAGTTTTTATGACATGATAAACTGTGTACATAGAAGCCATTTTACACCTAAAGGTGTAGTTTGACGACAGGTATTTACTAGCTAACAGAATGATTGCAAGACACAGTTGCTCCAGGTATTTCCCAAGGCTCAACTTTTAAGAATGATATAAATGATATAAGACATAAAATAAATGCACTGATCTCTACTCACAGATGAAGGGCAGCAGAACTCAGCTGATAAACAGTACCACGCTTCACTCGTGATCTAGTGCCAAGCTGTGTTTTTACAACACTATAAATTAAAAAACTAATAACTCTCAAGGACTGGGGTGACTGCATGTCAAAGTATATTCAAAACCAAACTGACTCTATTTATTGATCAATTTCAGTGACTAAAATCTCTACTTCACTTTCAGCAATTCATTAAGATGAGAGCACTAGCAATGGAAGCTAATATTATAAAAAAACAGGCCAAATCTCAGGTTATCTAGGGGTGTTTCTAACCATAACAAAAACAAACCAAGTTTTACTCAGAAATAACTAAAGCAAGAAGTCAATGATGTTCAGCATATCCTTAGCACACTAGAGACTGACTTACTGTTGAGACAGCAATATAAACCCGTATTGATCATGCAGATTATATTCATAATGATGTCTCCATGTAATTTCTCTGTAGAATAAATGTAGGGAGCAACAATTTACTGCCTTGTTTTGAGGGCACTGTAGTCATAATTTGTGGAAGATACAGAGAGAAAATGGATCTTGCTTAGGAAGGCCATGATCTGGAACCTGCTACAATACTACTGTTACTATTAAGTGATTTTTAGATTAAGACAAGAATGTTCAGGAAAGTTTCATGAAAACTATGTAAAGAGGAGCATCACAGTCTGAAGAATGTTGTTTGACTGGCAGGGCCCTTGATCCCTAAGCCATGGATCAGGATATTGTTGTGCCAGGCACCATCAGAACAATTTGTGGCATTTAAACAAGTGACTCCAGCCACAGGGCAAAGATCACAGAAGACTTCTGCCTCAGCACAACATGCTCTCTACTCAAGGGAACCCTTCCCTCAGTCAACCGACTTTTTTACTCAAGAGTAAAACTGTGCTCAGCTGGAAACGATGCTTTCCTGGAGCGGCAGTGCCTGTCATGAACATCTTAAGAACGTAGAGCTACCACAAACTTTGCAACTCTCAACTTTAAGTGCAACATTAACCTCTTTGATCTTCTGTAAACAACAAGTATTCATATATAACATAATAAACTGCTAACCATTCCAAAGCACACACTGCTTGCCCTGGAGAGAGTATAAGAGAGTGAGCAAACAAATACCAGATGTTAGTTACTTGGTTGTTTTAATTGCTTCAGTTGTTTCCATGAGCTACTGGTTAAGAACTCATATAGAATAGAAAATGAAACAAAACACAAAAGAAAGACGCTTACTGGAAGAATCAACATTATTTTCCAAGATGATTCAAAAAAACCCCAACAAACAGAAGTTCCAAATGTTAAGCTTGAGGGCCAAATAAAAGCCAGTTGTAAGGAAATCTGTGTGAAAAGGATACAAACATTAGAATAAAAAACAACAGGATCCAACTCTTCCCAATCCAATTTGGAGATGGGCTCTAGCCAGCGCTTCTGCAGTCATACATTGTTGGTGAGGCCACAGGCCTATTGTCTGGCTTGGAAGGGGGATAGCAAATTTCTGGACTTTCAGCATGCTGTGAAATCCCTAAAGCTCACAGGAGAGTCACAGAGTTCATATACACAGTCCCTTTGAGAGAGCTATGCCACAGATGAATAACATACCCCAAAGTGCTACGGTTTCCAGCTTCTTCTGGAACAAACTCCTAAGGATTTTTAGTGGTGATGTGGACCTCCATACCACAACTTTGTCAGTAAAGTTGCTCTTTTCACTTACCTTTCACATATTCTCTATGCAAACTCCCCGTATTCTGTGAGGTCCTACATCACAAGCTTCAACACATCTTTTTTGGTGTGTTGCACATTTGAGCA